ACAGGTGAGCAGCACGGGTGAGCGGCACAGGTGAGCGGCACAGGTGAGTGGCATAGACAGCACAGGTGAGCGGCACAGGCAGGACAGGTGAGCGGCACAGGTAGGACAGGTGAGCGGCACAGGTGAGCAGCACGGGCAGCACAGGCCACTGCCCTCTGCTGTGGGAGTCCAGCGACGCTTGGCCTGCCCGCCCAGCCTGCACTCACCGGGCCGTGCGACCCCAGGATCTGGGCGCAGGCCGCCTTGGTCAGCGTCTCGGACGCGCTCAGCCCCTCCAGCAGCAGGTCCTGGGTGCTCAGGAGGGCGGCGTAGGCCCGCAGCGTCCTGGCCATCCTGGCCGCCTTCTGGAACTGCAGCGACACCAGGGACCCCACGAAGCGCGCCTCCTGGGCCTCCAGCTGCCGCACCCTCTCCCCGCGCAGCTCTCCTCGGACCTGGGGCGGAGAGATGCGGAGTCCGGACACCCCGCAGGGACTGCGGGATGGGAGGCGGCCAGCAGGGGACGCTGGGCACTGGGAGAGAAAGGCGCCACCAGGCCAAGGAGGGGAGGCAGCTCAGCCCGGAGCTGACAGGGCCCGGGAGGGCGCCTGACCCGCAGGTCGGAGCGGCTCCTCGGGGCCACGCGAGAGCTGGGCGAGGCCGAGGGAGCTCCTGGACAGGACAGTGGTCACCGAAGGGCAGGTGAGAAGAGAGGGGGACACGACAGCACCGGCGTTCTGAGCCCCTCCAGGGGTGCCGGGGGCTGGAGACGCCCTGTGGTGCAAGCGCAGGGTGGGGCCTGTGCTCCCTGGAGGCCAGTCTCCCCTGGAGCTGGGGAGGGGAGAAGGGGTCTCCAGAGGGGCTTGTGGGGCCCCTCACCCTGGACTGGGGAAGCAGGGCGGAGGTGCGGGCGGCGCGATGTGCTGGGCAGGGGCAGGGGCAGGGGCAGGGTGCCGTCCTCAGGCACCACGGCAGTGGGCAGCAGACAGTGGAGCCCACAGCGGGAAGGAGGGAGGACGAGGAGATGTCCCTCCTCCTGGCCTCTGGGAAGCTTCATTCCTTAACTCCAGCACCCTACACTGTCTCTAGAGAGGGTTTCACCCAGCCTGAAAGAACTCCAGGGAAGAGACATTTGCATATCCATGAGGTACTGGGCCAAGCTTCATTAGATATTCAAGCTATCGAAAGTAATAAAAATTCACTCCCTGGCCACGCTGCTATATGCTCTGGTTTTAAATGAGAAGCTCCAGCCCCTCCCAGCCAGCGCCCCCCCAGGTGCGTCCCCAGGGACCCTGAGAGCAGCGCTGCAGCGCCGTGGCCAGCCGACGGGGGCTCAGAGCTCAGGCGACCCAGCTCCCTGCCCAGGCTCGGGACCAAACACCAGCCAGACGGCTGGGCCCAGGCCCCACGGCCAGCTGAGACCCAGCGTGGAGAATGGGTCAGTGGGGCGTCCAAGGCAGACCTGCTCCAAGAGCCCATGGCCCCACCTCTGGCACAGGGACACAGGCTTCCCGCAGGCAGGCCACTGGGGGTGGGGGTGGGGGGTAGGCTGGGCCGGGCGTGGCCGCCGCAGAGGGGGGCTGGGCCGGGCGTGGCCGCCGCAGAGGGGGGCTGGGCCGAGCGTGGCCGCTGCAGAGGGGGGCTGGGCCGAGCGTGGCCGCTGCAGGGGTGTGGGGGCTGGGCTGAGCGTGGCCGCTGCAGGGGAGTGGGGGCTGGGCTGAGTGTGGGGCTAGGCTGAGCGTGCCCCGCGGCCCCGAGAGGGTGAGGGGCAGAAGCTGCGGACAGACGAGGCCCTTCCGCCCCGCGCCAGGCCTTGTTCACCTGTCTGGCTGGTCAGCTGCCTGCAGAGCTTTGCCAGGGGCTCTCTGCGTGGCCCCGCCCCGCCCAGCCACCCGCCCTCTGACTCCTTTCCCCATGAAAGGGCAGCAGTAAACCCCAAGGCCATGTAGAGACACTCGCCGGTGGACACTGGTCTGCACCCCCTGCGTGCACCCTCCCTGTCTCCTGAGGGTGCACCGGCCTGCTGTTGGAGAAAACGGCGCCCTCACCGCTAACCAGGCTGCGCACCGTGTGCTGGGCCGGGCTGGCCGGCCGCGCCAGGGGAGCACCCCAAGGGGAACACAGTAAACAAGCCGGGCCTGGGAGAGCGGCAGGCCAAGAGGACGCGGAGGGGAGGCGGGCTCCGGAGGCCAGCAGGACGGGGGGTGCGGTGGGGACGGAGCAGCCCCCCACGGACAGCCGCCGCGGGGCAGACACTGACCTTTTCCAGCAGGTCGTCAGGGGCCTGCTCCTCGAAGAGCTGAATTTTGTCCTCCAGGCTCTTCTTCAAAAGGCCGATCTTGCTCTTGGAGCGCGACTTTCTCGCCTTGGGTGGGTGCTGCAGGGGCAACAGAGGGCAAGGGTGAGCCCCGCCGGCTCAGGCCGCACCCCGCCCGCCCGGGAAGCTCCCACAGCCCCAGACGGCCTCGGGCCGCCTCCGCGGAGACCGGTCAGGGCCTGCTCTGAGCAGCCTCTCAAGGACCGAGTCGGCCGGTGCGCCTGGCCACCTGAGCCCCTCGGGCCGGAAGCCGGGGCAGGCAGCGGGGAAGGGCCTCGCCCGGCGGGCCCTGGGGGAGTCCAGCCTGGACAGGCGGCTCAGGGCAAACAGCACCGAGGGGTCAGCCCTCGGGCAGGAAGCCCCCGTCCACTAAACCCACAAGGCCCCAAGGGCCCTTTCCTGTGCCACCTGAACCGACTGGCCGCAAGGTCGGCCTTGAGAGCCCCGAGTGGCCCCGGCCGGGGCTGGGGGGCGGCAGGAAAGTCGCCTCAGGCTCCGTCCTGGGAGCGGGCAGCTTCGGCTGCAGGCTGCGCTCAGGCCACCAGGGACAGTGCGAGGACAGGGCTGCGGCTCCAGTGTCCACTACAGGCCTCGGTGGTTCCAAGATCAGCGGGCAGCCGTACCGGGGGTGGGGGGCGGGCAGGGGGTGAGCGAGATGAACGGGTGGGGGGCGCCGGCCCAGCAGACACAGCGGGGAGACGCCCCTGCCTCCAGGGGTCCCCGAAGACCGCCCACCTGCTGTTCGGGGGCCGCCAGGGCCTCGTCCAGCCGCAGACACTCCGCCTCCCGCCACGCCGTCTGACACTGCTGCAGCAGGACCTGGGCCCGGATTCTGGGGAGGGCCAAGCTCCTGTCCATCTGGGCGAAGCAGCCATGAACCTCCTGCTGCGCCCGGAGCGACTCCTCCTCGGACAGGGAGAGGGGCGAGGCGCAGAGCTTCCTGCGGGGACCGAAAGTCCAGCTGCGCCGGGGTGTGCAGGCCGCGGCCAG